GATATTAAGGGCTCAAGTAGAAGGCAAATGTTTTGAGAATGATGATGGCAACAGATGTACATATATGCTTGACACAATGGATGTAAGTATGAATTGTGATAAGAATTGTATGAGCCCCCAATAAAATGATAAAAAAAAGAAAAGAAATATTAAAAAAAAAGAAAATGATGCTTCATACTATCTGTTTTTTTTCCCCTTATGTATGAAGAATTTTTATATTAAATAAGGTCTTGAGACAACATGGTTGTGCTGTCAGGTAAACATTGTGTTGCTAACCGTAGGGTCAGTAGTTCAAACCCACTAGCCTCTTAGTGGGAGAAAGATGAGGAAACTCCACAAAGGGTTACTATGAGTTGGAACAGACCTGATTGAATTATGTTTCATTTGGGCATATCGTAAAAACCATACGGGTTTCATTTCTATGGACACACAGTTTCATCTACTCTGTGAAGCCTCTTCAGTATGAAGGTTTTCTGCTGACCTCCTGGAGTGTTTCTTGTCTAGTTGTTATGTGGTTGTTCTCAATTGGATGGCAGTTTATAGTTACCTAGTGGTGGAGTTTGGGATTGGTTTTCCTATCTACCAATGAGCATCAAGTTATGTCAAGCCTAGAGGAAGTGCTCCGAAGATCCCAAGGGCACTGACGTCGGCTGTGCTTAGGGCCAGAGGGGCCAGCCTAGAAAAATCGCCACTTGTCGTTAGGTGCCGTTGAGTCAGTCTGATGCACAGTGTCTCTGTCGCAGCAGAACCACACGACCTGGTCCTGCACGCTCCTCGCTATTGCTCCTCCGCTGCAGCCAGTAGTTGCAGCCAGGTGACTCTTTCCTTCCATAGATGGTCATTTGTCCATTGATAATTGGAAAAATGAATTATTTTGCCTAATTTTATCCAAATTTCATCCCCACGAGGCATAGGGGAATTAAGTTAGTATTCTTATTTAACACATATGGAACTCAAGTTAAAAAATTTTTTACCCCCAAATATTCTCCAGTATTCCTTATAGGCAGTGCAGTAAAATAGCTACATGACCACAGTGCTCCTATTCACTCATGAAAATTTTTCACATATTTAAACCCTGAGTGAAGAAAAATGACAAGTGAATGAATTTCAGCACAGTAACCAGACGACCTAAGAGTCAACTATTTGATTCTAAATTCTTACCTTCACTGTGAAAGCATGTACAGTAGAGACATCAGATGCTGAATCAACTGGTCTCTCCTGGTAGACCACGTGGTACTGGGAAATAATACCATTGGGAGTTTCTGGCTCAGTCCAATTTAGCAGAATTGAGTGAGCACTGGTGGCTTGAGCCCAAGGTGCTGGTAGATCTTGAGGTGGGGCTTCCAGGGTCCGTGCTGCTGACCACGGGCTCTCTACTGTGCCCTGGGAATTCTGGGCTCTGACCTGGTATTCGTAGAGCGTGAAAGGCCTTAAAGCACCCGAGGTATCAGTAAATTCAAGGGCTCCTTCTGACCACATGAACAAAAGGGTCTCCTCTTCCAGGCCAGCAGCACGTCTGAAAAGAAATCAAGAAGGCATCCAATGAAGTTTCAAGGTTTTGCATAAAGTAAGGAGCTACAGTTGTGAAATTTTTTAATCAACTAAGCTTTTCAAATGTTTCTTCATAGTGTGTCAAATAGCAGAGTATACCAGAAGCCTAACGCAATTATCATTATTAGTAAACAACAACAAGAAATATATATATACATACATATGCATACTGTTTATAAAATAATACTTCATGGAAAGCAAGGAAATGTCGAAGAAATTTTAAAAATTAAAAAAACAATACAAAATCACTACTATTCACATTTTGTATCAACTTCCAAACTGTTTTTTTTAAAAACAAAGAAAAATATAAGCTATACATAAAAAACATGATTTAAAAAATTTAAGAGGCATATATATGTAAACACTATTAACAAGTCATATATTTACTATTTATGCATTTTGTTATTTTGTATTATTTTATGCACGTGTTATGAAAAATTATGTATTATGTATTTTCTAGATCTTTGTGTGCACATTTGTGGGGCATCCATGTGTATGTGCACACAGTTAAATTGAAGTTTGATACTGTATACAAGTATTAGACTCTTAGTTTACACGGAGAATTTACCATGCTATGCTGCACAAATTGTAATAAGGGTCCCAATTTGCTTAAGTTTTCATGTATATGCCTTTTCCAATACACTCCCCAAATCACTCTCGGTCGTATGGCTGTTTGTGGTCAATGATCGGATAACCAATATGATGTCTTGACAAGTGTTGATACATTGAAGCAGACTTTCTGGCTGCTCCCAGAACGTTGAGATTGCCAGGTAGAAATATCCCTATCTCACCCGAGGCTGAGATAGCCTCGAGAGAAGCCCATCGTCCTTGCGCCTAGAGCCTAGCACCTAGCACCTAGTGCCTTGCGCCTAGCACCTAGCACCTAGCACCTTGCGCCTTGCACCTAGCGCCTTGCGCCTTGCACCTAGCACCTAGCGCCTTGCGCCTTGCACCTAGCACCTAGAGCCTTGCGCCTTGCGCCTAGCACCTCGCACCTAGTGCCTAGCACGGTGCTATTTTGCATTTGTTTCCATGATGTTTTAAAGTGTTCCCAGATTTTCACTTCTTTGGATTTTTTCTTCCTTAAATTATAACCCACCAAAAGAAAGATCCTCATTCTTGTATATGGACAAAACTTTACTGAGTATTTATATGACATTGTACCAGGATCCGAAGTACAAAGATGAATGTACTCCTTACTGGGAGCTCCTGGTTTAAGTGGAGAAGGTAGATTTATAGCTAAGTTTTGGCAAGTCATGTGGTACACAATAGGACTTTTCATTAGACGTTTTGAAAAAGTCAAACTTGTTTTATATGTCTTATCCAGAACCTAGAAAAATATAGACTATGCTCAAAAGTCTTTCGACAACCCAAGAATGGGATTAGTCTTAAAGACTATAAATAGTCTTATGGCCCTGAATACATATCTAGCATTAAAAAATTAAATCAAATGTATGAAATTATCAGTTGCTTGGATAGCTTCAAATATTTGAATATTTTATTTGGAGAATTCTTTACTCGTTCATTTATAAAATCATGACCTGAGCAGGGAAAGTCATTGAGGAATTGTGGTTGGTTTATCTCTGTATCTGAGCCCGTTGGATTTCAGTGTTTGTAGAGAAACTATGCGATTATATGTTTATAGCCACTCATGCGACAATGACCATCAATACTTATTTTAGGTTAGTGAAGAATATAACCTAGAGATAGATCTTGTCTTCCTTCCGATTATTCCCTGGTTGAGGTGAATTGGCTGAATCAATCAAGATTCCCCAGGTTGTTAGGAGGGCTTAATTAACATTCTCTTCAGGTGCTGCGATGGCCACAAGCTGCCATATCAGATCAACAAACCCCATCAAAATGCAATGGGTGATTAACACAAGGCAATGACAATGCCTTTCTCAAAAAGCCTGGATAGTATAAGCCTTTGGCTTTGGGAATTCGGTGATTCCCAACTTGATAAATCACAAAGACTTAAGTATAAGCAATGACAAGCTTCCTGCTGGACACTATGGAGGCTTCATAGATACCTCTCAGTGATCGGTAATTATGGTTCGGCAACCCGGCTAATTATGACCTGCTACCATGTGTAGGCCTGTTCGGCACTCAGGGTAGGTTTGCAACGTTTGGCCTCTGTACTCGCTGCAGATACCAGATAGCAGGTGTGTCATTGGGAGGGATCCATTCTAATGAGAACCTCAGGGCTCTCAGCCAAGGACGTTTCTGTGATTTTTTAAAAAGGTGTTTACTAGGAACATAAGGCAGAAAACAAAAGTATAATTTTCTATGGGGAAATAAAATTTTCTATTTTGTCTATCTTCATACTTTTTGTGACAATTCAATGAATTTTAATTACATTCTCATGGATTCCCAAATCCAGGTGTAACCATGTTTACATAAAACTGGTATTTAAAAAATAAACTAGAGATGCAAAATTTTATAATCTTATGTATAATAAGCCACACGTTTATCCATCAAACCAACTAAAGAATGTATTATGACCAACTATTTCTTATCACGATTGAATATTTAATGAACTAAACCTATGGCAAAGTAAATGTTCCATCTGTGGCAATAAAAAGTAGGATATCTTTATGTCTGAATAAACTTTGAACAGAATTAGTTGAGTAGACTATAATTATTCTAATATATTTAACATTTAGGATTCAACTCTCCATTTAACTGGAAGTGCTTCCTCCTTAATCGTCAATATTTAAGGAAATCACACTTTCAATGCTTTTTGAATAGCCAAATGGTTATTCTCTGCTTGAGCTCATTTGGGAGATACTTCAGTAATATACTTTTCCAAATAGAGTTAATTATATATTGTCCAACACTAAGAAATGAGTTCTGGTGTTGCTGTGGGGTAAGCACTAGCCTGCTAACCACAGTGTTGGCAGTTTGAAACCACCAGCCACCCATGGGAGAAAGATGAAGCTATATGTTGCTTTAAAGATGTGTAACCTTGTGAATCTTATGGAGGGTTTTTATGAGTCAGAATAAACTCTGTCGTAGTAGTTAACAGTAAAAGGGAAATAAAAATAACTATTAAAACTAGTAACTATATCTTTTAAAAGGCATCCATACTCTATGCTGTCTTAATGTAATTGAATATGTTTAAGGTTCGAATTAACCACGTTCCTGAAATTCTCAGGTATTTTCCTCAAACGCAATTAAGATACATTTTTTATGATGATGTTTTGAGCTGTGTTCTGGAAGGCAACTCTGGCAATCATGCACAAAGTGCACTAACAGGAAACGATCACAGGCATCCACCCAGTGAGCAGGCCGTCATTAACAGGCCTCTGAGAATCAGTGTGGATCCTGAGCTAGGTTAATAGTCAAGCAAACAGAAACACAGGTGATTTGGATTGATTGTGTCCCTCCAAATGTGCTTATCTGTAGGAATCCGATTTTCTTTGTTAGTTAATGAAATTGTATCAATATAGGTATGTTTTATGCCAAAATGTTTTGAGATATAAAAAAGCAGATCAGGAAGGATAAAGCAGACATAAGAGAAAGGCTAACACCGTAGGAGCCAAGGGAGGAAGACCGGTTTATGAGCCCAGGAACTCCACGGATGCCAGCTGGAGATGCTGAGACAAGTGTTTGCCCTTAGAGAGAGCTTCACTTTGAGTGGGCACGCTGAGTTTAGTCTCCGAAATTGTGAGAAAAGAAATATCTCCGTGATTTGCTATATTATCTCCTTGACTTGCTACATGCCTTCTGAGGCTTGGATCATCCAGTTTTGCAAAATGATTGGATGTTGGGGCTAAGACACCTCAAATGCTTCCTGAGCTTTTCAAGATTTCATTCTGCTGAAAATTGTTTCCTGATTTGTCCATGCATCTGGCCTATGTTTACCACTCCAGATTCACCTTCTGCAGTTTATTTTCCTATCTTAGGTTTTAATTATAAGGAAACGCTTGCCTATCCCAGACACTGACTTGCGGTGATCACTAATATTCCATTAGTATTTCCAATAAATCCTTAATACTTCTAATATTTCATGCTTCCATGGCTTTGGTCTCTTTTAATATCTTTTCCTTCCCTCTTTCCTGTTTTTCTCCTTTCTATAGACCACCTCCAATTCATCTTTTACAACTCAGTTCTTTGGTCAACCCCCAGAAAATCTTTTGCTTCTTTCTCACACACAATTATCATATCTGTCTATGTGCTCTTTTCTTCATTGATGCACTCATCACATTCTATTGTAATATGTTTTCCACTTTATTATCTCTCATGCTATAATCCTGCACTCTCTCTTACTCATCTGTATGTTCTGAGCATCTCCAGAAGCATGGTACAGTGTGCTGTATAAATACTATTTCAACCAATGACTAGGTGATAATGGACAAGAAGAGTCCAAGGCAACCTGCAACTTGAGTAACTAGGAAAATGTACTTGTTATTAAGTTATTGTCTCTCAGCTCTTAACCTATCCTCCTGTATTCCACTTTTTTATAGCACCGTGATTCTGTAACCATTTTTGGCTTTATTCTATGCAACAGACTTACTCCACGTTGGCCTCCACCAATAGAGTGATGGACAGGGAACTGGCGTGGGGAAAAGGAACACACTACTTGCTATTTGTTTTCTGTTTGCATTCTGTTGATGTGAGCTTCTTCCCAGCAAGCAAGGATTCTTCACCCTATAATAGTGGATCTTACTTCCTTTGGAATGGCTGATAACAGTTTGTAATTTTTCCAGCACAATTCTAATCTTACCACCGTGCTTCAGGATACCTGGGCCAGCTGGCTGTTGCCCTCTTCAAATGTCTTCATCCTAGCCTCACCCAGGCCCTCCTCTAAGTTTCTCAATTCTAATAATTTCAAATGATTCCACTTATTGGGTTCATCCTATGGGTGGCATCTGGTTTCAGCAGTTGTCTTCTCTTTTTAACTTCTCAATGAACAGATTTGGAACTAGGAAAAGAATCTTTATATGAAATTATCTGAGTTAAAATAAATGGTATGGTTTCTCTTCTGTGATTGGACTGTGCTATAGAATCAAATAGGAAAATCATAAAGAAGTAAAGGATGATGATAGGTTTATATCTGTATTCACTAAACTTACTATTTTTACGACACCACATTATAGATGTTATTTTGAATATATGTATACATATCACACACACACATATCTCCCTCCAAGGTGACTCTGACTCATAGAACTCTGTAAGACAGGGTAGAATTGCCCCCCGTGGGTTTCCGAGACTGTAACTCTTTACAGGAATAGAAAACCCTGCATTTGTCCTGTAGATAGCAGCTCAGTGCAGAACCATTATGCCACCGGAGTGTATTTATAAAACCACCGCTCTTGACATTGAGTCAATTTCACTTCTGAGGGACCTCCTAGGAGAGAGTGACTATAACTGCTCCATGTGGCTGCCACGTCTTTCTCTCAAAGAGTGAGTGGAGAGGGACTGGTGGGTTCTAACTCCAGACTTTTCGGTTAGCAACTGGGAACGTGCCTTCTGTGCTACCAAAGCTATGTGTACATGTATAGATTATATATGTATGATTAAGGAATCCTGGTGGCACATGTGAGTAAGCGTTGGACTGGTAGCTCAGGTTGCTATGAGTCAGCATTGATTTGATGGCAGTGGCTTTGGGTGTGGGTACATAACTGGAATATTTATGAGAATTATAGTCATGAAAATCTGGAAACAAACAAACAAACAAAGAAAATCTAGAAACAGCATACTTGAAATTCATTACAGTCATATCATAAACCACGTATGATATGTATCCACAAAATAAAATATTTGGGAGATATTGTAAGAAAATACATTTTATCATTCATCTCACAATTGCATACCAGTTTTAATGATATTATTTCTTTTATGTAAAGGAAAATGTAAATAGAAAATGTCAATTAAGGAATTGCCTGCTAGCCGAAAGGCTGTCGATTCAAACTCACTCAGGGCTACCTTTCTCCCCACCCAAATGGAATTCCGTCAAGATTCATTCTGCTTTCACTCATGGACTGCTTTTCTTAGTTTTCCCAAACAACTTGATTATCCATTCTAGATGATTATTGTCTGTAGATTTTTGTTTGCAGTAATGTTCCATATCATTCATTATTTAAAAATCAGATTTCTGCTCCCAAAATCTTATTCAATAGTCAGAAGGAAGGCTTATCATCTTTTTAATTATAAAGTGTTTAGAGGGTGTATTGTCCATATTTATATCTTTTATTGCAGTGTGATTACATCTTTTTACTTATTTAAAGAGATAACTTATGGTAATTTTGTTTTTGTGAAAATGGTAGAGACCAGTTATCCATTTACTGTTTTTCAAGTCTTAAGAAAATTTGGTTTGGTGGATTTTGTAGCTGGAAGTGATGAGATTCCTTCACTTACAAAGTTATAGATATAAGGTAAATGCTAAAGAATAATTGCTATCCCAGCGGAAATCATTATTAAGTGAAAGCAAACGTTCAATAGGATCTTCTGCGTGTGTACCCTGTCAATAATGGTTTCAAAACTGCTAACATCAATATTGTGCCTATTTTATTTTTAAAAAAATTATAGCAAATCTCCTCATGTTGACTTACATATAGACAACAAAACAGCAGAAATGAAATATCAAATTAAAAGGTTAAAAAAAGAGAAATAATCATGTTTATAATCTTGTCATTACCAGTATATTTTTTTAGCCATAAATATTTTATCATTTTATTTGGGTGGATACTTTTGATAGGACGATATCAGGAATCAATATTTAAATAATACAAAAGAATTGCCAAGGGGAAATCATTTGGAGGGCTGGAGGGAGCAGTGTGACAAGTAGCATCCTGCTATTTAAGATCTGCATAGGTCAATTCACCAAACCACCTTTGCTGTGCGCTAAATGCATTACCTTTGGTGGTGATCGAAGAAAGAGGAGGCAAATGATGAAGCAGAAATGACATGCCATCACCTCCCCAGAAATACGGGAGGCTTGTGGCCATAACTATCGAAGGGGCTCTGTGTAGTCCCAGAATGAAAAAGAACTATATGTCTATATTCTATTTCTGTCCTTACAAATTTCAGATTTTTCTGCAGCTATCTAAGAAAAATTTGATATTGCTGTTGTCTAAGCACATTTAAACTTCAGCTGAAATAACTGCCAAGTGATTCATGCCTATGTAGGTGAATATAGTGATTGTATCTGGAGCCCCAGTGCGCCATTTTCATTTCACTTTAAATAAAAAACAAAATGTATCTATGTCAGTCAGTGCCCTTCTGCTGTACTCAGAGGTATCAAACAGGCTACAATTATGATTGTGAAGTGATTGTGTCACATTGGAGGAAGGTTTATTGCTTCGGAGTCTGCTAGGCAGTAACACACTCGGTTTCATATTACTCTTTATATCATTGTTTGGCTGTGACTAGAATAATCAAATGCCATCAAATGCTGTCAAATTCAATTTACAGTATTTTTCATTGAAGCGGGCTTTCTGCATTATATTTCCTGTTTTCCTTCTCTATAGCTGCCATGGAATAGTCACTATAATCATGAGCTTTATTTACAAAACCAACAGAGTGGAGCCACGTCCTGGTCTATAACAGATACTTTATTTCCCTTGATTCAGAATAGGAATTTGATGTGCTTTTCTCATACAATTAGCATTAAGTAGATGAAAGAAAACTATTTCAAGAGGATGGGTATTTTAGAGCCTGCACTAATGTGCTTAGTGTAAAATGTAAATTCACATTAGCCATTTTTACATGTTCGTGTGTATTTGAATCAGAAATATTATTCTTCAAATTAATGTTTGCTGAGAAGAAATTTGGCTTGCTCATTTTCGGTAATGTCATTTACATAACCAGAAATGCAATACTACTTTCTCTTTTCATAATTTTCCAACAAATCCTTATCTCCGCAGGGAAGGACTGCCCTTTTGTCTTTCTGAGACTGTGCCCCTTTATACCTTAGAGGGGTAGGTTTGAACCCATGACTTTGCCAGCATGTCTCTCAAACGAAGTTTCAGTAGATGCTCAGGATACAGGAACAAGTACGGGAAGGTGTAAGGCTGTTTGGGAGCGTCTAAGGAAGGATGCTGAGCGTGGTGGTGAGAAGCTGAGAAAAGTTGCGGGTTGCGCTTTGGAATGCCCAATATAACGATATCACTTAATCTTTTCCTCATTGTCCTTTTCCTTTATCACCTTCCCTCTTCAGCCACGCCTCCTTTTCATCCTTTTCCTTCCAATCCGCTCTCTCCTCTTTCCCATCCTCCCTCTTCCATTCTTCCCTTACGTTCAGGTAAATTGTGCTTAAGAAGGTTAGCATAGACCAGTGAAAACCAACTGCATCAACACTTCCTTGTCAGCTGAATGGAGGCTCATTAACACAGAAGGAAGGTCGGAGTAGAGCCCCGCTTTTGCATATGAAAAGAAACATATTTTGAGGAAGAGACGCTATGATAAGTGGTAGGAACTTAGAGTTCTCATTCCAGACCCGGTTCCTCCTGAGTGATGATTATGGTCTTTGGTGACTGAGCTTCTGCAGGGTCACTTCCTCAAATGTTTGAAAGGCTTCGCAGAGCTAAACTAGGAAGTCTGGGTTCAACCAAATCACGTGACACCGTAATTCTGACGTTTCTCCTTAGACACTAAGATAAAGTTCTCAGCGCCAGGCTTGGTAGGTCCTCCTCTGCACCCGGCCCCCTCTCCAAAACAATCTCATGCCTCTCCTTATGGAAAAGGAAAATAATATTTAACTTTATAGTCTTGGACCATCACATATTCTATATAATTAAAATGATAATGGTAAGCCTTACCTGTAAATAAAGTAATTGATGATAATGCCATTTGGAATTGTAGGTGGCATCCATGTAACTTCTATGCAAGCTGACCCCAGTGCCTTAAGAACGGGAGAACTAAGATTGCCTGGTCTGTCTTCAGCTGTTCGAACAAACGTCCTACTGCTAACTCCACAACCTCCTTTGGGGAAAAAAAAGAGAGACTTTTAGTAATTTATCAAAAAGGAAAATGAGTTACATATCCATATATAAAGAGAAGGGTATGACAAAAATAAATTCATCTGTGTTTTGTATATACATTTTCATACATTCGAGACTGGTACTGCAAATCTCTAGAGGATAAATAGTCACCTAGAAAGTATTTTTGGAAAATCCTTTAATTAACCACATCATTGACAGGCATTGACAATAAAGCATATGAGTGTTGGAAGTGACTTGCAGTCATTTTAGCCAGACAATGATAATGTTAGGTAGGCCAGCATAGGGCTGGGAAATGTCCATTAACATGTGCCCAGAGGGCCAAGCTAGGGGAACAAAGGAGTGGCACAGCGCACATGCTCAGGGTTCCCGCCAGTAGGCAAGGGTGGGCGTAAACTTGAATTGGATCACCTAGCCAGGTAAATTCAATTCAGCCAATGGGGTCGATCAGGGGTCTTCCACCAC